GGCAAGAGAAACCAAAGAGCAGGGAGTAACACCTAAACCCGATGACAAGAAGATAGAAGATCCAGAGGAAACAGAAGTCAGCGAGGCCAGCATCAAAGCAATGCTTCAAAGATTCAATAAAGTGATGCACCCTCATTGGATAGCGTGTGTCAATGGCGAGTACAGAATTCAGTTTGACAGGGAGCAGACGGCGAAAGATAGCCTCATACCAGTCGGACCTCACATTCCCAGACGCCTGGGGTACCTAGTCATGCGAGACGAACTCAACGCAGCCCACGCACAACTATGCAAGTCTAAAGCAAAACAAGATCCTCAAGAAACGCCTAAGTAGACGAGATAGCCACCAGCTCAAACCCAGCAGAAGAACAAGCTCGACCGAGAAACCAAAAACCATTAACCAACCAGAGCTGACCAAGCCGCCATGACACACCAAGACACGCCCACCGGACCGGAAAGCCCACTTGCCAAAAACCAGCCAGCTACTAGTCCTTCTCAGGACTAGTGATACCGCGCATCATCACCCCAAGCCAATGTTGCAAAACAGCAAGGAAACCTATAGGAAGACGGGAGACAACGTCACACAAAAACATAGAAACAAAAACTGCAAAGAAACCAGGACACAATTAAAACCAAGCCCCAGAGGCAGGTTGAAGTCGTCCACAACTTTTTTTTTTTTTTTCCATTCATTACGGATTACGTAAAACCGGCCTGCGACCGGACATCGTTCTCCATTCTGCGCAAAAACGGCAGCTCATCCTGATTGAGTTGACGGTCCCGTTTGAGTCGCGTATGGAGGAGAATCATTTGTACAAGCTCGAAAAGTACAGTGATTTAGCAGCCGGTTTGAGGAGAAACGAGGCTTACACAGTACGGGTTTTTGCCGTCGAGGTGGGAGCGAGAGGCCTCGTTTCCACTTCAATGTGGTGAAAGAATTAGGATTGCGCGGTAATGAACGGAAACGAACACTCAAAAAACTGGGAGAGGTAGCCGAAAGGGCCTCTAGCTGGCTTTGGACGCAGCGCAACAACGTAGGGGACGGGCCTCGGTGAGCTGGTCCGGGTATCTAGTGGAAAAGAGTTTCTCATCCCTTTGAAAGTCCATCGTGTCCGGATTGTCTGCCAGTGTTCCTCTGCCAACTGCTAATATAAGTACAACATGTGTCCGGTAAACCAAAATAAGCTTGTCGCTCGGTCGTCCAGGCACGCTGAATGTTCTAATTAAGCTGCCGCGGTGGCTTCTTATCTCACAGTACCTCCTTCGAAACCACTAAGTCGTCTTGTCTCTGGCCGAAATAATAATACCATCCGGTAATTCTGTGAAGCGGGGAACCAGCCCTGAGCTTCATGAACTCAGGTGGGCCCACCTCCGAATACGTTTAGGAATCGTGGGCCGAAACGTGTGTCGACGAAGATAATTTCTACTGATGACTGGTAGATCCCCGCTGTACTTGCTCCCTGTGAGTTTATTCTTATTGTTTTTGTTCTTTTGTCATCCCACCGTTTTCAGGTTGTAGCTCAGTATCGTGGTTTTCTGTATTTGTTTTGTGATTCTCCAATGGCTTGAGTGGTGGTTTTGTTAATCTCTTTTGCAGGATTCGGCCACACTTTATCCATTTCGGCCATGGACTTCCTCTCGTCTTCCGCTCAGATGGCCTTCTGTAGAAGATTGTATGCACTTTTGTGTGGCTGCATTCTTACTAGATTGTTATACCCATTTTTTTTTCGCCTGTCAATATAATTCAGACACGATCGTGTTGTTCTATGCCTCTCAATATAATTCAGACACGATCGTGTTGTTCTATGCCTCTCAATATAATTCAGACACGATCGTGTTGTTCTTTGCCTCTCAATATAATTCAGAAGCAATCTTGTTGTTCTTTGCCTCTCAATATAATTCAGAGACAGTCTTGTTGTTCTTTGCCTCTCAATATAATTCAGACACAAACTTGTTCTTTCCCTCTCCATATAATTCAGACACCATCTTGTTGTTCTTTGCCTCTCAATATAATTCAGACACCATCTTGTTGTTCTTTGCCTCTCAATATAATTCAGACACAATCTTGTTCCAATCTTCTAACCTGGTACACAATCCATAGAAAATATTCTTTTACTGAGCAAACAGACAGACTGGCCACTGTTAGTGAATTGATGTAGGACAAGATAGATGTGTGTGAGGGATGTTCGGTAGTGAGTGAACAGTGCCGAGGCACACATAGATTATTACGGTCTAAGGATAATGGTGCTGCGAGCAGTCGCCAGGGAATTTGACCGGCGCTCAACACTCAATGGAATGGCGAGACTGACATACAACCAGACAGTTACTGGTGCCATCGGAATTGAAACTCTTCGCTTGCTGCTGAAGATGGGGACGGAGAGCTTATTGGAGTGTCCCGAGTGTCATGATGTCGATTTTTAGTTCAAAATCCGTTACGCTGGTATTCATTACCTTGTTCTGTCATGAGGTGTTAGTAGTCTTCCGGAGACAGCACACTTCACCGATAGATTTTTGTTCTGGTTGATGTAACGACGGGTAGTTCCCGCATGACCCTGTGAACAGACCATCACCAATCAGGTGCCGTCTTCGCAGTGAATGTTGACTGCAACAGATCTCCGACAAACTCTGTCTCTCGTCCTGGTTCTACATTCTCTCAAACTGCTGTGCCTCAATCTCTTAACGTTGTCCCATTTATATCACTGTCCACCTCTTGCTCTTCTCTTATTTGACTGAAAACGAGGCAGATTTAGACCTCCGCGAACGAAGATACAAAACACTGAACATGCATTGGCTATCAAATCTTACCGGGCTGGAGAACTCCTCTTGAGACAGAAAAAAATGTGTCAGCCGTGCTGCGATGGGAGCGACGTTCTGTAAATGACCTGCTAATCGATGATGAAAACTTCCCAGTGTGGATTCTGGGGTCCCACTGTGGGTAAAACAAGCATAGACCCACTACCTCCCCAACAAGCATGTAGTAAAAGTCAACTAATTGGGATTTTTCATCGAAGTCGAGTGCATCTGTCTGAGAGGCAAGGAACCAAGAGTCTGTATACAAATAAGATGGTTAATTTTACGAAATCCGGCCCAGAAAAAAAGGAGTGACTTACCTTGCCATTCATTCGTTTGGCGTTTGCTTGGTGTATATAATGTTTGTGGGCGGTTTTGCTGTCGTGAGTCCATTTCAGGCCCAACTAGCGCCTCTGTACAAGTAAGAAGTACTGCAAGGGGAGTTTCGCAGGCGGGACGATTCTTGAGTACCAAAAACTTGGATGTTTTTGTATTTTACGTTCGTTGGCGGTGGCTTCCCCCAAGAGAAAGAAAGAACTTACAAGGTACGTAGGAATAGAAAAATATCACTGTTTCCAAAGTCCCGAATCGTCGCGCAGGTAGCAAAACGTGAAAATTATTACTGAAGCGAGCGGTAAAAAGACGATAAAAAAGGGAACAGTTAAAGCGTCGACAAAAAGGAAAACATGACACCCCCGCAACATAGGAGAGGTCCTGCGACCATACAAGTCATGAATGGTAAGGGAAGTCACTCTCTTATAGGCCAGACTTCGTAAAATGAACAAGTCAGATTTGTATGACAGATGTGCATGCAATACTAAAGATCTGGAACAAGTCTAAAGTCCAGAGGTTTATGAAAAGCCAGAACTTTCTGCCAAAGTTTACAGCCGGTGAGCGCGAAGAAGAACAAGAAGAACAAGAAAAAGAAGATAAACATATACTAAGACAAGCAAATTGGATGCGTGACTCGAAAGGCGCAGATATTAAAGATCTGCTGTGAACACTCACAGTTATACGCAGAAGAAAAAGTCCAGTTTGAGAAAGGATGGATAAATAAATTTACAGTATCTTCTCGGGTTTGAATTTCAACACAAGATATGTTTCCTTGATCTCTCGGGCATTGAGATTGGCTGGGTACTCAAGAATTTACACATGCGTGCATGCTGAGCGACTCAGTGAACATGCTCAAGAAAATGAAGGGTTCCAGATCAGAGATTCACTTGGCTAGACATATAGATTTTTCTTGGAGATAATTTAGCTGACTAATTTTGTGTAGACATGTTGGCAAGTGTAACATTGTCATTTTGTGTAATGTTATGATGAAGGTTTTCTGGCCGCAACGTTCACTTGCCATTGGAATTTCTTATATGGTGAAGCTAACTAGTCAGTATGGATACTCCCCGTGTGGGTTCCGGGGCTCTACTATGGGAAAAACAAGAATAGACCCACTGCCTACCCAAAGCATGTCGTAAGAGTCGACTAATTGGGAGCTTCCTTCGAAGTCGGAGTGCATCTATCTGAGAGGCAAGGAACCAACAGTCTGCATACAGATCTGTCAAACGGATGCACACGCAACACTCAGGTTCTGGAACAGGACTGCAGTCCAGAAGTGGACGAACAACCAGAACTTTCCGCCGGAGTTTACAGCCTGTGAACGAGAAGAAAGAAAGAAAGAAGAAGAAGTATGGATATGTTTTCATGATCTCTTGGGCATTGACAGTCTGCACAAAAATAAATTAATAAGTCAGATCTGTAAAATGGATGCGCAGGCATAGCCAATCCATGCGGTAGATTTTCTAAGTATGAAGCAGGTCCTCGAAATGCCGCCTCTAATAGCTTTGCGCTGTCAGATCAAGGTGTATTTTGAATTTGCTGCTCATGCACCCCCCCCCCTTTTTTTTTTAAACTGTGCCGCCTGATGAGACCGAATTTATGTCTCATACACGGCCAATTAGAGAAGGGCGTGGTATTATAGTACGATACGGCCCTGGGCATAATTCAAGTTTTGGACCAAGATCAAAATCCTGAAGTGGACGAACAACCAGGACTTTCCCCGAGAGTTTACAGAAGGTGAACGTGAAGAATATAAAGAGGCACAGTGACTACAGATACGAAACTATCATCGGCTTTCAGACGTCACCTCAAGATGGCGGCCACACCTCCGTGTAACGGAAACTGATTGAGATCGTCTTGTTGTTGCTCAGAATTAGTTGGAGATGGATTTAAGCTTTAGAAAGTTTTCCTGCACGGATGCATCTATGTTAGTGGGTTTTAATTGCTTTGTCTTGTTACTATGATAAAGTATAACGATGTTTTGATTTCATTTTCTGATTCGCATTCATTAAATAAGAATTCAGTTATTGAATTCGATTCTCTTGAAGTCACAGAAAAGTTCAAAAGTCTGAAATGTGTGTCAACTCTCAACTGTCAGTATGTAGTTTGTCTTGTGAAATATTTTTTAAACGTGTCAAAAAATATAATATTAAAAAAAATTAAAAACCTGTCGATATTTCGGATCGGCAGGTTTACAGTTTTTAATTGTGGCAGGATTTTACTTAAGAAAATAGTTGTATTTTCAATTTTACTTGTATGTAGCTGACAGCTGAAAGCTGCATTGCCATTGCTCAGCTGCTGATGTATTTAAGTGCATTATGTGACACTGTGAGCTGCAAATTTTATTTGGAATGCATTTTGACAGTGCTTAACATGGTTTATTTTGTGAACTGCGGTTGAAGAGAATGGCCAGAGAACTTGTGCCTCATGTGAGTAAAGCCTTATGCGATTAACTGCTTGTGCAACTATTAGTTGATTGAACTTTTGATCTGTTGCAACAGCTGCTTCCATTTTTAGCATCAAACTGTTTTGGTAGTTCTGACTGCTACCATGTGCATTTAAAATTGAATGTATGTGTACTCTGTTGGATTTGCTAAGACTGCAGTCTGTCAGCTTTTTACAAACGGGACATTGGTGGACATTCTACATGGTTTTTTGTTGGCACATGAACAGAGCAACTATAAGATGACCAGTTTGCTATAAAGTTGGAACTGTAATTACCTGATTACCTGATCTGCATACGATAGGGAAAGATAGAACGACTTGGCGTGAGTTGGTTGAGGGCCTGTGCTCCATTGGGGGCTAGAAAGGCAGAAGAAGACGAAGAAGACCTGATCTTGTTCTCCTTTAAAAATTTTCTGGGGGCCTCATTGTGGGGAAATCAAGAATCGACCGACTGTCCCCCCAGCAAGCATGTCATAGTAGTAGACTAATTATGGGCATCCTTTGAAGTCGAGATGCATCTCCCCGAGATGAGAGGCAAAGAACCAACAGTCTGCACACAGATATGCTAGATCTGTAAAATGTATGTGGATTCAACACTCAGGTTCTGGGATAAGACTATAAGCTCAAAAGTAGACGAACATCCAGAACTTTCTGCCAGAGTTTGCAGCTGTTGAAGGCAAAGAAGAAAAAGATACAGAGAAGATACATCTTCTCTCTTGGTTTTCCTCTGCCTCTCTTTCCTTCCATCTTTCCTGTTGTGACATGGTACTCTACTTTCCCTCTTCTCAAGATATATGACCAAAGAATGTCAAGTGTCTTTCTCTGATGTAGTGGCACAATCTACCATTTGTTGAATGTTGAATTAAGAATCAATATAACAGCACTCAGGACACTCCCATAAGTGCTCAGTCCTCATCTTCAGCAGCAACCAGAGAGTTACAATTCCGATGACACCAGTAGCCGATAGTATATCCATTTCATCCTTTCCTGGAGTGTTGAGCGTCGGCCAGATCCTCTGGTAATCTACCATTTGTCATTATTTATTTGTTTAAAAAAATATTTTCTTTTAACTTGTAGATCCAAGGGAGCAGTGAAGCTGCCAAGCAACAATAGAATACCGACAGATATAGATAACATCCAAGACACAGAAGGATCACATATGATAGAGGTAATAGATTTTGGAAGTCTTGTTGTCTTAGTTTCAGCTTCATAGCAAACGGGTCACCCCATCTTTGCTCTGTTCCTGTGCCAATGAAAAGTATATTCCTGACCTGTCCAGTTTGTGGCGACAGCACTGATCACTCAGACGTAAATCTTCAGACTTTCTGTCCTACACCTCCCTGAAATATGGTAAATATAGACAGTAAAGACAATCCATTTGAACAGGATGGTTGACACATTATATGCTCACACTCAACAACACTCTCCTCGCATTAGAAAATTACCCTATATATATATGAGGGATGAGATTTGCCAGAAACACTGGTGTGAGGTTAGACAACACAGAAATAAAACTACCACTGCAAACTGCAGTAAATGAACTGACTTTCTACCCTTTTTCATTCCCAGGCTTCATTAAGGAAAAAAAAAACAATAGATCCATGACCCGCAACAAGTATGTTGTTAAAAGTGACTAATTTGAGGTTTGTTGAGATTTGTTTGGCTGAGAGGTGCAGATATTGCAGCCTGACTATAAACCACAGTAAAACATGCTAACCAACCTCTTTAAGGTCAGGCACACACAAGGGATCAGTGTGATCAACTACATAAATCTTCTTCACATTCACTCGCTTTGAAAGTTCTGATTGTTCATCTACTTGTGGACTTAAGACTTGTTTCAGAACATGAGTTTTGCAAGCACATCTGTTTTACAGATGTGGCTTATTTGTGTGCAGACTGTTGGTTCTTTGCCTGTCAAGCAGACAAACTCCAACTTTAAAGGATACCCCTAATTAGTCGACTTTTATGAGATGCTTGCTAGTGAGGCAGTGCATCTAGTTCCCCCAACCACAACAGGGCCTTGTATGCTACTGATTTCCTCTTCTTTTTCTTCCTCTTCTCCCTTTTCTTTTTCTTCTTCTGCTTCTTCTTCGTCTTCTTCTTCTTCTATTTTTTCAGGGTGTTCTGCATTTGCATCTTTCTTAGTTAGTTTATCAGCTCTGTTGATGTATTCGTATCTGGACCTCCTAAACACTGTTCATGCGCTTATAGAACCAATAGTATTAAACTATTCTTTTCGAGTGCAGGTCACTGCAGGAAATGCCAGTTCACCGGCATTTATGAGGAATCTGTTATAGCCGGATGTAACGAGATCTGGTCTTCTCAGGGTGATGCTCAAAGGCGGTTGATCTCCTCTTCATTTTAAACTTCTGTGTTTTCATAATTTACTTTCTCCTACACATCTCACTCCCACCCCCTGCCGGTTTAAAAAAAAATAAGTATATAATATGAATTTAAATACATGTAATTAATATGTATTATTATAGATAATGCCAACCTTCATTTGTTAGCAGGCATCACAGAGCAGTGAAACTGCTGTCCCACTCCTGATTGTCACAGTGAAGCAGGAAGTTGATGACCAGGTACATAAACTTTGTAAATCTTGAAACCATTGACTTGCTACAATTGATACAAATATGGCATCTGTATGGCACAGAAGACTTGTTTGTTACAGAACATTAAGATGTTACTCCCACACAATTCTGATGTGGCAAGTGTGAGGGTGACTAGTAAGTTGCGCTGCCTTTATTATACCACTTTTGCTGTGGAGGCGGGGGATCTTTGAGTCTGAGGATTTACGGCTGCATGGCTAATGCTGTTGCCACGACTGTGCAGGTGAGGGTGTTATTTTGATCCACTTGCGTCAAGAATAGTTTTCTGCAGTTAGAGCATGCAATTTTGGGACCACTGTTGCCATCACATGTTTCCTCTCAAATGCTCGGCTGTCAGCCTCTCGACAAATGTACCATAATACCTGCAGTGGCTCTCAACCTTCCTAATGCCACGACCCTTTGATACAGTTCCTTATGTTGTGCTGACCCCAACTGTAAAATTATTTTCATTGCTACTTCACAACTTCAGTGAATATATGTTTTCCAATGGTCTTAGGTCCCCCCCCCCCCCCCCCCACCCCCTGTTCGACCCTCAAAGGGGTCGCGTCCTACTAGTTGAGAACCGCTGTTCTAGAGGATGGCATTAGCGTCATAATTGGAATCTAAGGAGACTACCCCTAATGCACATCAATGTTGTAGTGTTTTATAACAGTTCCTTTAAATGTTAACATTGTCTCAATAGCAACAAGTCAGAAAGAACTACAGGGATTGACAGATGCCGTGGTGGTAGAAAGTGATCAAATGAGCCTCACTTTGAAAAATGTGAAGACAGAAATATTGGTGATTTCCAAGAAAAGAATAGTGCCTAAATGTGTAATAAACGTCAAAGATGTTATTTTAGGTCAAGTACAGAAATTTAAGTATCTAGGCACATGGATAACGTCCGACAGAAGATGTATCACAGAGATAAAGAACAATAGGACAGACTAAAACTGCGTTTTTTAAAATGAAGAACATTTTATGCAATAAATCCGTCATTGGAGGTAAGGAAAAGAATTCTCACATGCTTTATAGAGCCACTTTTAACATAGAGCTGTAAATCCTGGACATTTAATAAACAAGCCAGGCAGTTTCTTGAGGCCTCGAAGATGTGGTCTTACAGAAGAATCCTTAGAATTCCTTGGACAGAAAAACAAACAAAATCAGATGTTTTGAAAGAGGTGAGGGCTCAATGACAACTTATCGCAAACATCAGAAAGAGATATTCTTTATTTTTTGGTTATGAAATGATAAAAAGGAAACAGGAACATGTTGTGACCACTGAAAAGATCTGTGAGCCTTATATATTGTTACTTTGGGATTTCAGGTGGTAATTATGTTTTGTATTTTTTTGTACAGGATACAAGTGACAGTGATATTGCTGATGAAACTATCACAATTAAGATGGAAATGGATGATGAGGTATTTCATTTGTATTGTTGGTGTTAGCCTTTCGTCTTTCAGAGCAGTCAAGTTAGGTATCATATTCTTTATGTCATTCTGTATTTTACTGTTATTCTATCTCTTTTGATTACATAATATTTGAATACTGTATTTTTCCTGTTAATCCCCGGTTGGGGGGGGGGGGGGGGGGTGTTCAGGGGATAATACACCCATTGCTTTCCTAATAAAAGTGTGTCATAAAAGGCAACTAATTAGGGATTTTTTTCCCTCTGAAGTCGGAATGCATCTGCCTAAGAGACTAGGAACCAACAGTCTGCAGTAAGCAGATACGTAAAGTGTAATAGCATACAGAACTCAGGTTCTGGAATAAGACTAAAGTAAGTGCAGAAGTGGATGAACAACCAGAAGTTATTCCAAAGACAACAATACTGCAAAGTAGGTGAGCATCCATGGGTGGTAAGTAAACAAAGATTACACTCTTCATGCCAGTTGCACTCTGGGCATATGGTGCTAGACTGCCAATCTCATAGACCAGTCTTAAAGAATAATCTTGTAGAATCTTGTAGACAGGCCAATCTTATAGACCAGTCTTATAGACCAATCTCATAGACCAATTTCATAGACCAAGACAATACCTTGTATCCATTTTAGGCTGGGTCAACCTGTGAGCAAAGGTCAGTTTGAAAAAATCCAACTCAAACCTTCCTGTCTATTTACTACGGTACAACGGCTTCCCCTTGGGTAATAATGTCAGCTGTACAGAACACAATACAACAAACTGAGTACATCTTGGTAACATACTTTCATCAATAAACAATGAAAAATGAAACACAACACAAATAGTAAATGGCACTAAATTTTATTACATTATGGGATTCTTTCTCTTCTTCTTCTTAGCGTTCACCAGCTGTAATGAGCTTACTGTTCTTAACCACCCTGCTTGATGCTCTACTCCTTATATAAATATGTCTATTGATTAGGGAAGAGGTCCCAGGGAGGACAGAAAAAGCACTATAAGGACATTCTCAAGACTGCTCTCAATTCTTTTGGCATCAACACAGCGAGCGACGTGGAAGGCTGCTGCACAAGACCGTTCTGGTTAGCGTATGTCCCTCAGGCATGGTGCATCTGCCTGCCAGGTTGCACAGGCAGAGAAACAGAGGCAAACTAAAAAGAATCGCACTGCTGATCCCACACTTACTACGGCTTCCATCAATTGTCTGCACTGCTCAAGAACTTTCCAGGCTCATATTGGACTACACAGCCACCTTCATACTTATAATCATTGATCACTACTTCTTTGGATGAAAGTGGTATTCATCACTCGTGATGGATGAACAAAATATCTTTTGATTCATTGTTATTGATTATTCCCCTGTAGAATACAGACGATGCGGAAGGGGAGGGTGGATCTGTGGTGGACAGCATTAAGGAAGAAGTCGATGATGAGGTGAGTTATGGACTGTCTCACAATGTGTTGAACAGTTATAGAACTGGCTAGTAAACAGAATCTTGTCTTGGATACTAATATTTTGGCCATACCCAGCACTCAGTCAAATTGAAAAAAAAAATTAAAAGTAGAAGGCATGGTACTAGGTAAGAGGGGCAGGGACTTACCAGCATGAAAATGAGCACAGGATATGAGTGACACCTAGCGTTGAAAAGGACATAAGGAGGGAGATATCCTGAGGGACAAGGTTCCTTTCAGGCAGACCGTGATGAGGCCAAAGTTATGCAAAGGACCTGCTAGATGATGATGATGATGAGGTTAGGTGTTAATGAAGTAACTAAGAATAAAACCTGAGTGCACACACATATGCACACACACACTCATCCTCTTGTGGAATCATGCTCTCTCTCTCTCTCTCTCTCTCTCTCTCTTTCTCTCTCTCTCTCTCTCTCTCTCTCTCTATCTCTCTCTCGCAATCTCTTTCTTTCACTCTATTGTGTGTATCTCTCTCTCTCTCTTGTATCCTCTTTCTGTCTCCCCCTATCTCTTTCTTTTGTACTCTTTCTTGTTCTGTCTTGCTGTCTCATGCTTTCTCTCTCTATTTTGCTGGCATTTATAGACCAATTGGCATGCAGTGGGTGATGCTCTTTCCTGGTAGTAATTTCAGGCTGGGTGGACCTGGCAGCCCATGACATTTATAAAATAATCTATTTTAGTGCAGATTTGAACCCAAGACCTTTAGGCTGGTAGGCAAGCATCTGATGGAACTTGAGTCCATGCATTTCTTACTGTACACCTTCTCATTGACTGATGACCATGTGACTTACGACCACCAGCATTTACAACCACCAAGAACAACAAAAAAGTTGTAATTTGAGGCTGTATTTTTGTTTGCCTACAGTAATATACATATTATCTTTTTTTTTCTCCCCTTGTGGGTTCTGGGGCCCTATTAAATGGAAAACAAGAATAGACCCACTGCCTACCCAAAAGCATGTCGTAAGAGTCGACTAATTTGGAGTTTGCTTCAAATTCGGAGTGCATCTGTCTGAGAGGCAAGGAACCAACAGTCTGCATACAAATGAGTCAGATCTGTAAAACAGATGCACACTCAGGTTCTGGAACAGCAATGCAGTCCAAAAGAGGATGAACAACCAGAACTTTCCGCCAGAGTTTATAGCTGGTGAACGCGAAGAAGCAGAACCTATTTTTTTCCACATTGTTTAACAAAAAATCCTATGTACATAAATTGCATTTTTGTGTTTTATGCACAATTTTCATAATCCGTTTGAATTAAAATATTGTTGACAAATATAAATTTGACTAAACGACAAGTTCGACCTATGACCTGTTAGTTGGAACGGAGCTCAGTCGTACGTTGAGCCTTATATTGAGCTAATCAGTAAGATAACCTGTTAGCCAATGCTGTTGTGAATTGTTTTGTGAATGTTTTTAGGGGCCATGGAGGCTAGGCAGCTACATGCTCACCTGCTGGCTCACCTGAAGATCTTGCTCTCAAATGCGCATCAAGTCATACCTAAAAAAATGGTTTTGGCCCCGAGTCAACCCAGCCTAAAATAGTTACTAGGTCCTGGACAGTAAAAACAACCATTGAGATGTTAACCTCATCACCCATCAGGTGCCATTGGGTCCATGAAAATATCTTTACTTAACATTTCAAAAAAATAAACTTTTGTTTGTGTATGTGTGTGTGTGATGTATAATAATATAAATAATATTTATATTTGTCAGTGTCATTGAAATCCCTTCTGCCTTTTGTTTCCAGTTGCCATATAGGATTATCAACACAGAAGAAGATACGCCTGCCGATGTTAACAGTATGGGTGAAACGACGACGCACAGTAAAAGAGGGAGAAAGCTTGTGGTGAAGAAAGAGGGCGAGGGTAAGCGTAAGAAGCATTTAAATTGTGTACTACAGAATTTCTATGATCTGATACCATACTCGGGTTTTATATTGAAGACCATTCATCAGTAAAATACTGTCAGATTGACTGCACTTTATGGTCGCTATGGAAACCAAAATAAACAATGGCCATATTGAATATCTTGGGAATGGTCTATAACTTTTGTATGGCAAGCTAGATTTTCCTAGAGGCTCAATTTTTATTTGTTGTTGTTCTATATGTGTACATTCATGTGGGGGGGGGGGGGGGCTGCCTCCGCAGCAGCCAGGTGTTATTGTTTACATTTGCTGTCCATTTAGAGGCATGCTGAAAAGTACATACACCACTCTGTTGGTACATGAACCCACTCTTTGTCAGGTTTTTGAGCCCACTCTTCACCAGATTTTATCTCCTCAAGTAAATACACTAGTTGTGTACCTCCCGGCATGAAGGCTTGACCCATCCACCCTCTTTTTTTTAACCTGCTGCTTTTTTTTCATGTGAGAGATGGGTGTTTAGAAGGGCTGAATGTAAGCTGGGCCTGCGTGCCCAACTTGTGACCCTTTAAAAATAAAGTTCATTTTTTCGTTCATCGTAATCTCACTGTGAGTGAATATTGTGTGTCAACGTTGATTCGCAGATAGGCACGAGCTTGTCAAATTTGTATTGTTGTCTTCCGCGGTTGAAAAATCAACAACCTGCCTGCTGTATTCTTTATGTAGCCAAGCTCAGTGTGTGTGGCCTCATTGTATATCAGGTTCATCCTCTCAGTCTGCTTATGGCGGAGAGTCAGAATTGCTGTAGGGCAGGGCTGTTCAACTGGCGGTCAGTTAAAGCCTAGCAAGTGGCCCACGGGTCATATCTGTTGTATTGTAGAAAGATCTTTCCCTGCTGGGGCTCTGGCCCATAATCATCCCCATTTGCAGCACGTTGGCCTCTTAGTTGAATAGCCCTGCTCAAGGGTCCTGAAACACAGAAAGGACCAGATCCTGAATTAAAATGCCTAGGTGGCGCTGCTTACAGTTTGTTGCCGCCATCACTCTTATCACAGTCATGCCCTAGTTGGTTCTCATAACTTTGTCTCTGTGCTAATGGGTTAATATCTTTGCCTGTCGATACAATAAAATATGGGCACGTGACACTGTCCTCCCTTTCCCGGTCGTGATCTGCTTACCAGTGATTGTCACAGTGTGAGCATTGAAATGGATAAACAAATTTGCCCTGATGATAAACAAACACATAAAGGGGACATGACACTGTCCTTCTCTGTCCTGTGATCTGTTTGCCACTGACTTTCACCATGGGAGCGTGGAAGCAAAGGTTAAAATCTTTGCCCTGATGACACACATGGGAACATGGATCTGTCCTCCCCTCTCGTGATCTGCTTGCCAGTGATTCTCACAATGTGAGCTTTGAAAGGGTTAACATCTTTGCCTCAGCTGTTTGTTACTATGTTTCAGAAATCAGTCCTAGTGGCACAAGCAGTGGTGCTCTCACGGCCGTTGGTAAAAGGCGAAAGAAAATTATCAGCTTCGGTGGGAATGCAGACTCAGAGCTGGCACCATACAGAGACAAGATTCCTGATGCTGAATTAAACATGATAAAGGAGACAGTTGTGAAAACAGAAGACCCTGATGAAACAGCAGGAGAAGCTTCAAGTAAGCTGAGAGGTCATGCAGGTATAGGATCGGAAAAACCCATGGATTGTCATATCATGACTGTGGAGTATAACATCACTCAAAATGATTACAGTGTGGTTCTGTACAATGGAGAGGACAGCAAAAATTCAGAGCCGGAACATTCTGTTACTGAAAGAAGCGGTCAAGGGTCAGCCAGGGGGAGAGACTCAAAGACCAAGGCAGCAGCTCATCGGCCGAATGTAAGAAAAAAGTCTAAGAAAATAACTGTGAAAAAGAAATCTCACATATGTGATATATGTGGTAAAGGATTTACTGAAAAGGGGAACTTGAAAACCCACAAGAAGCTGCATGCAAAAGGTCGGAATTACAAGTGTGATCTCTGTGATATGTGCTTTCTGGACAAAGCTAAGCTGAAGAAGCACACCAACTCGCATACAGGAGAGAAGCCTTATCGCTGTGATATTTGCAATGCAGGGTTTAATGTGATGTGGAACCTGAAAACCCACAAGAGAATGCATACAGGAGAAAAGCCTTACAAGTGTGAGATATGTGGGGCCAGTTTCTCCGTGAGCAGTACGCTGACCACACACAGGAGGACGCACACAGGAGAAAAGCCGTACAAGTGTGACGTCTGTGGTTCTGGGTTCACCCACAGCAGCACGTTGAAGACCCACAAGCGGATCCATGTGGGAGATCGGCCTTACAGGTGCGACATCTGTGGCATGGAATTTTATGCTAGTAGTGGGTTGAAGAAGCACAAAGTAACGCATTCGGGGGAGAAACCGTTCAAATGTGATTTTTGCGATGTATGTTTTACACAGAGCAGTGCACTGAAGACGCACAAGCTGATGCACACGGGTGAATACCCTTTCAAATGTCACATCTGCGGTTTGGGTTTCGCTCACACCAGTACGTTAAACGCGCACATGGTGGTACACACAGGGGAAAAGCCATACAAGTGTGACATTTGTGACGCAGGATTCACTCTGAAAGGCACCTTGAAGAAACACAAAAGGAAGCATACAGGTGAGAAACCGTACCGGTGTGAAGTGTGCGGTGCAGGTTTCAATGAGAAATGGGACCTGAAGACACACAGCCGGACACACACGGGAGAAAAACCGTTCAAGTGTGAGGTCTGTGATAAAAGCTTCACCGTCAGCTGTGGGTTGAAGACGCACATGAGCAAGCACACAGGAAAGAAACCCTTCAGATGTGATATCTGTGGTATTGGCTTCACTCAAAGTTTTTCCCTGAAAAAGCACAAGAGAAAACAGGTCGGAGAGCCCCCTTGTGAATGTAATATTTGCGGGGAGGAGTTCACTCACTACTGTGTGTTAAAACAGCACAAAAAAACACATAAAGTCGTTAAAACATACAAGTGTGATGTATGTATGTTGGATTTTTCTGACAGCGCCACGCTGAAGAAACACAAACGGACTCACGTAACAGAGAAGACATATATCTGTGACGTGTGTGGTTTAGAAATGAGAGAGAAGCGTGGGTTGAAGGAACATAAAAAGACACACATAGCAGACAAGTACTTCAGGTGTGATATTTGTAGTGTGAGGTTTTTGAAAAATGACACTCTGAAAGCTCATATGAGGATACATACAGGAGAGAAGCCATTTAAATGTGATGTCTGCGGAGTGGGTTTCACTCAGAATAGTGCTTTAAAGACACACGCGAGAATACATACAGGAGAAAGGCCATATGGGTGTGATTTATGTGGCATGGATTTCACACATAGCAGTACTTTAAAGAAACATATAAGAATTCACACAGGTGAGAAGCCTTATGTTTGTGACGAGTGTGGTCTGGACTTTATCGATAGTTTCTCTTTGAAAAAGCACAAAAGAAAGCATGTTGATGATTAAATTCCTGGCATGTTTTTTTAATTTTGGTAAAGGGTTAATGCGAATCATTTACTCTCAATTATTGACAAAGTCAATCGAGGCATGTGCAGTTAAATGTGACCGAACATTTCTTAGGACATCATGAACCAGGAAGAGAAGAAACAACTGACATTCTTTTTAATGTGAACTGTGTGTGTTACCTCATAGGCAGTGTTATTTTTTGGAAACTGAAAGGTTTTCTGCATCAGCAGCAAGCTGCAGTTCTGGTGTGGGACTGTTGGTGTTGGTACATCTGACAACAGCCTTATGCATCTACTTTGCAGGGACAGTTTTACAGATCTGGTTTGTTAGTTGCTGACTGTTGGCTCCTTGCCTTTCAGGCAGATACACTCCGACTTCAAAGGAAACCCCTCATTAGTCAACTCTTACATGCTTGTTAGGGAGGCAGTGGGTTAGAAAGACAGTGGGTTAGAGAGGCAGTGTGTTAGGGAGGCAGTTGGTTAGGGAGGCGGCTAGTTAGGGAGGCAGTGGGTCTACCTCCCCCCCCCCCCGCCCCCCATAATAAACCTGACCCACACAGGGAGTATTTATTTCTTTATTTTAGGCTTTAAAAAAAATTAAAGGTTGTCTTAGGATAATATGGCATACTGTCTATAAGCCAGTCTCTTGATATGTTCAGATACTGGAGAAAGCCAGTAATATTTCCTGTTTTTAGTCTGTGTCATTGCAGCTCTTCATCTATCAGAATTGCCGCTCCAGCTAGGTATTTTTTTTTTACCTCCAAGCAGCAGCGAATGTCCTGTTAGGTGAAAACTGTAATTTTGTGACATAAGATAATGTTACCTGTCCGTGCCTGGGGACTATGGACATGTGCCGCTGGCTTTGGGAACAGCATCTGCTGTAACTGCAAAGTCTGATGTGGGAGTGGCAGTCTCTGTTACACGGGATACACACAGAAATAGATACTCCCTCGCTATGAGGTTGATTTTCTCTCTGGCCTCTCCTCTCTGTAGCTTGCTGCTTTTGGTTTCTTTCAAAATGTGACAACCCGTCTTTCACCATAGTAGATCTGCAGCTGATTTTTTCCAAGTCTCTGCCTATTTTGGTATCTGTCAGGTCACGTTTGCATATGTCTTTATAATGTAGCTTTGGCCTTCCTGTAGATCTGTTCCCTGTTTCCAGTTCACCATACAGGAGGTCCTTTGGAGTATGACTATCTTCCATTGTGACATAAGATTTAATAAATGAACGTATGTGTTTTTGCTTTTGTGTTTGTTTAGCTGTGAGGTGGGCAGCTAACAATGTTTTCCTCTTTTGGTGGGCCACAGGTGTAAAGGTTGAGAAACACTGATTTAAATGACATTAAAAATTATGGTCTACGTCTGTGGCTTAGGCGTTGCGAACGCGTTTTGAAATGCTGAGGTGCCGGGTTCGATCCCAGCTGCGGGCTTTGCACTGGTTTCGACAGTGGTATCGAGAAGCCGACCGTCCAGAAAGCAGTGGCAAA